CCCAGGATGTCCTCAGGACAGCCTTTTGAGGACATTATGATGTCCTGAGGATGTCCTCAAATGATCCTTGAAACATCCTAAAAACATCCTATTGTCCGGCCTCAGGACATCAGATCGTCCTCAGGAGGGCAGCCAAGGATTTTTTTAGTACATTTTTAGGACAATGCACTGCAGGTGCAGCTGTTCACTGAGCTGTTAGGATGCTTTCATTTTTATTGTTTCTAGGTTTTCTCCAACTGGATTTTGAACCTGAAGATGCCTGCAAGAGCTGCCTGCAGGAAAAAAATGCTTTGTTGTGCACTATCTTAAAGTGAAATTCACACACTAATTCTAGATCACTAGTCAGTGAGAGGCTAAGAACATAGGGCATGGGAAAGGAGGAAGAAAGCTGGTGAAATGCAGAAGAGGAGAGAAAAAAACCTCTCCCCTCCAGCATCCTGTCGGCTTTCTCCTCTGCGTATTTCTTTGCGCTATGTTCTTAGCCTGTAACTATGAGCATGATCGTGCCATCCATTATTGCAAACAAAGGTAACTGTTACAGAAATACTTTATTGGAGAGCAAATGTTATGCATGACGTTTTTCAATGTCTGCATTAGACGTGCAGTCTGGCTTCGCATCTTGGCCAGCACTAGTCCAAATAGTGAGCGGGATCTGCAGAAAAAAAATCGATTCCATAAGCATTAATAATAAAACCAGGTAATATGAGGAACTTACCATCATGTCGAACACTTGCGGCCTTTGACTGCAGCTTTTTCAGTTTCTCTCCAGCGTGGCGCAGCCATACTTTGATTATGGTCTCCACGTCAGCTTTGTTTGCGCACTCAACATTTGATTTCACTGCTCCAAAAACATTGATTTGTGATGACAGTCACAGCAGAAAGCTAAGATGGTCTAGAAAAAAATCACAATTAATGTTCGTGCGAGGAAGATACCCTTGCTACCGAGTCTACTTTCGCACAGTCGAAAAGCTCGAAGCATTCGTTTACGCGCCGGCATCTTTCCCGTCGAAATTGCCGTTCATTGCTTTCCGCCATTTTTTGGATGGAACAGCGCGGATATACAGACTTGCAGCGCTGACTAACCCAACTCAGTGATATATAATTTCTTCTTCCTCAAATCGTCATCATCTTCTCTTTCGCCGTTAATGAGAACATTTTAAACTTTTAAACACAAAAACCAAATAGCCAATAAACATTAATAAGTAAATAATAAATAAATAAATGAAAGGCTAAAAGTAAATAAAACTAAGAAAATGAACAAAAATAAAATAAAAATAAAGTTTAAGGATATTTTTTAGAAAAAAAATTACAATTAAAAAATGAAACTTAAAAATTATTTCTTTTAATTTTTTAAGTTTTATTTCTTTTTAGTTGTCATTTATTTATTTATTATTTATTTATTAATGTTTATTGGCTATTTGGTTTCTGGTGTTTAAAAAATTTAAATGTTCGCATTACGTGCGAAGGAGGAGAAGATGACGATATTAGGAAGAAGAAATATATGACTGAGTTGCTAATCAGCGCTGCGAGTTTGTTTCCTTCTTGTGTGCCTGTGAGTGTGACTGTATCCGCGCTGCTTCATCCAAACATGAATTACCATCTAGCCCAAGCATCCATATTATCAAGCCATCATCAACCTCGGCGCTATTTATGTTTCTGTCCTGGTTTGGCTTAGCTTGCTTGAGTCTCTCGGATGGGCGGATAATTGCCATAACGGTACACCTTGTAGTAGGCGGTAGCTTGCGCCACCTAGAGTGAATGTTGCCAATGGAACTGAATTTCGAAATACTGCGCAAATACAAAACTAATGATAATTGTAGTGCGTCCTGGTTTTATTAACGAATTGTTTGATCAAAACTATAGTTAAAAGATGTCCTAAACTTACGCAACTACATGTAATAATTTGTATGTGAAATTTAGTTGAGCAGTGAACGTGAACTGTGTATACTACCGCTATTTCATTCATTTATTTGTTTAAAACGCAATCAAATTGAGGACGTATATATTACCTCTAACTTTGTATCCTTCGTCCTCAATAAGTCCTCGGAAGAACGTTTCTAGGATGATCCAGCGACTGACGTTCTCAGGATGTCCTGAGGACGTCTTGAAAACCTTGAGGACGTTTGTACCTTTCGAGGACGTCCTGAGGATGTCGGGTGTTGTCTGGGGATGAGCAATTTAGCCAGTGCAGTACAACCGCTTGCCTGGGGTCTTTAACGTGCACCACGCAGTAGTGATACTAGACTGCACGCCGGTACAATGCTCACCCAGATCGAAACGGACAGGGGTGGGGATTGAACCCAGGATCCCTGGGTTCTGCAGCGCGAGCTTTCGCTCCACGTGCTCCGAACTGGTGTGCGCTAGCCCACTCGGCCACTCGGATCTCGGCGAATAGCGGCGAGGGCGGCACGCGCACGTGGAATCAAACGCGCAACTCTGGCTTCCGTAGGGAGCGTATACAGGAACTCTACCTTGGACTAGCCTTGGACTTGAGTTCCTGTATTAGCGGCGAGATGTTACGGTGGCGCCCTCGCTTGGTTCCCTCTCGTGACGCCATGTCCTTGCGAACAACAAGTTCGATGGTGTTTGTAATTAGCATGTTGGAAGCTTGAAATCATAGCGCTCTGAAACCAACCTTGCCAACCCCGTCAAAATCGAAGTTCATACATTTCTCTTATATCCGTCCATCAGAACTCATTTGCTGACGTCATAGTCAGCATTCGGTCAATCATGGCAGGCCGACCACAGCGACGGTTTCGATCGCGCACGTCGCCAATAGCTACGGGACCCAGAGTTGCGCGTTCATCCCCGTAGCGCAGTCTTTCCTGCACGGCATGTTGATCCAGCTCCTCACGTGACTGAATTCGGCGAATAGCGGTGCCGCGCGTTCGAGGCGCGCGGCGCGCTCAAAAGCAGGGGAACGTACGGCGGGGCGCGCGCAACGTCTACTTTCCTGCACGGTACTTGATCCAGCTCCTCACGTGATCGGATCTCGGCGAATAGCGGCGCGACGGCACGTGAAAAAAAGACGCGGAACTCTGGCTCCAGTAGAGAGCCTGTAGACCTTTTCCGCTTACTCTCGCCCCCGACCGCCAAGTAGGCATATCTGGTATGGGCGACAAAAAAAAACATTACAACCTTTCAACCTGTGAATAGTAAAAAAATAGAGGGGAGACAAAACGAGAACGAGAGACTGTTACACTTATCTCCTAGGTGCATTCTATTGGCGTGGCGACTGCAGAACATGTTTTCGCCCATACTGGAAGTGACGATATTTCAAGATGGCGGCGCTGTAGTGGTTCTAGTACATGAACACAAAGCGGCGCCAAAAGCGGGCGCCGCCATGTTGCGCGCTCTGGCGTGCCCGCGGGATACCCCACGATAAGCTCGTGATAAAGAAGATCATGCTTGGATTCGAACGGGGCTGGTCGTGTTTGTTTTTAGAGCGCAGCTCTTAGGGGCCCATTTCCGGCTTGAGCGGCGTCGGCGTCGCCGTCGGCGTCGCCGTCGGCGTTGGCGTCGGCGTCGGCGTAACCGCGCGGTGCATCATGAGAAATGTCCCATAATGCACCGCGCGAGGCCCTCACCGGGGTCACGTGACCTCGTGGGGGGGCACGTGACCCCCCGAGGTCACGTGACCCCGGTGCATCATGGGAAATCTCCCATAATGCATCGCGCGAGCCCCCCACCGGGGTCACGTGACCTCGTGGGGGGCACGTGACCCCCCCCCCCCCCGAGGTCACGTGACCCCCCGAAGTCACGTGACTCCCTTGAGGTCACGTGACCCCCGCCGATGTCGCGTGACCCCCAATGACGTCATCGTCACTGATGACGTCACCGGCATCCACATCGTCATCGTCATCATCACTGATGACGTCACCGGCATCCACATCGTCATCGTCATCATCACTGATGACGTCACCGGCATCCACATCGTCATCGTCATCATCACTGATGACGTCACCGGCATCCGCATCGTCATCGTCATCATCACTGATGACGTTACCGACATCCGCATCATCATCGTCATCATCACTGATGACGTCATCAGTGACGTCACTGATGTCGTCACCGGCATCCACATCGTCATCGTCACTGATGACGTCACCGGCATCCGCATCGTCATCGTCATCATCACTGATGACGTCACCGGCATCCGCATCGTCATCGTCATCATCACTGATGACATTACCGACATCCACATCGTCATCGTCATCATCACTGATGACGTCATCAGCGACGTCACTGATGACGTCACCGACATTCGCATCGTCATCGTCATCATCACTGGTGAAGTCATCAGTGACGTCACTAATGACGTCATCGGTACCCGCATCGTCATCGTCAATGATGACGTCATCAGTGACCTCAGTGATTACATCATCGGCATCGGGGGTCACGTGACCCCCCCTGGTTAGTTTAACCCCCCCCCCCCTGTGCCCCTCCCTCCTCCTCCTCAAGAGCTGCGCTCCAATTCGGCGTTACAGGGAGTTGTAAGCAGCTTTCACTTTTTTGATCCTGAACCGGCGTTCTCGGACCCACAGAATATTACAATGGCTTTGATAAGGATAGATAACTGGGCGAGTTGGTGAGAGTTCATGTTGAAAAAACAGCGCGACTAAGACGAGGACACATAGACGAAGAGAACACAAGACACAGCGCTTTGTCTTGTGTTCTCTTCGTCTATGTGTCCTCGTCTTAGTCGCGCTGTTTTTTCAACATTACAATGGCGACGAAAATGGGATACGAGGAGGCGACGAGGTAAACGTTTTTTTTTTTCCTTCCTAGATCCGTCCCCTCCAAGCATGATCTCCACGCCCAATCGCTGCGCATAACGTCTGGTTTTAGTTCAAGTCAACCACCCGCTGCTTCACAGTCTTTATTTCGATTTGCATTGTCAACCACCATGTCGGTTGCAATCTTGCAATTTCTCTAACGGTAGGCTTCGACCCTCAGCGTGCTTTCACTATTTCCGTGGTTTCTTTTGACATTTGACCATCATGACTCAAAATATCGCTTTTGGAACGGCGATTCTGCCGCCGCCACCCGTCTTTCTACCTGTTCCCGACACGCCCACCCTTGCGTGGCCGGCATGGAAGCGTGCCTTCACCGCTTTTCTTGGTACTTCGGGGTTCGAACAGATGGAACCGCGTCGTAAAAAACAACTCCTATTTTCTTTGCTCGGCACGGAAGGCCAGCGTGTGGTTGACGCATTCCGCTTGGACGATGCACCGGCGACTGAGCTCAATGACGAGTATGAAATATTTTTGGAGAAGTTAGAAAAACACTTTGAGTTCTCGGGGTCCGTAACACTGGAAAGAAAGAAACTCCGTGCTAGAGTCCAACGTCCCGGCGAATCAGTCTCCGAATACCTCGCCGCATTACGTCATCAAGGCTCTTTCTGTAGCTACGGCGCTACGTTAGACGAACGCCTGTGTGAAATCTTTTTGGAGGGGTTGGATTCGAAGAGAGTTCAAAAGGACCGCATTTTACGTGAATGCGTCGGGGCCGAGGTACCCACACTGGACAGAGCGTTCCAGCTCGCAATACAATTTGAACAACTTGCGAAAACGACTGAATCGTTTCATCGTCAGACGAGCGCGGTGTCGTCTTTCCCTGTTAACGACGGAAGCCGCGGTTTGGAACCGGCACCGGTCCAAGATATTCATGAGTATGCTCAGTGGCGTGCGAATCAAGATGGCGGAGCTTCCGGGTCCCCCGCCCAACTCTTTCACCAATATGGTCATCCTCTGTGTCCTTCCACCGGGATGATTCCGTCGCAGCGAGGTCCCGTGATGTCGTGGGGTCAACCATCGTCTGACGGCTATCTTCTCCGTTTCCAAGGGCGGGCAAGGCGGCCAACAGTCCGCGAGCCTGCTCCTCACCGGGCGAGGGAGAGAAAAGATGCAGGCTGTCTCTCTGCGTGCTGGTTCTGTGGCCGGCGCGACCATGCCCGCGAATTCTGCCCGGCACGGAACGTGACATGCTTTCTGTGTGGGAAGCAGGGACATTTTGCTCTGGTTTGCCGCAGTCGTCAAGCACAGTCAGCAGCATTCATTAACGATGAACGGCAAGCATCATTTCCAATGCGGGGTCGAGGACAACCTTGGTGCCGTGGACAACTTGCCGGACGCTACCAGAGCGGCCGTTTTTATCGACGAGACGGATCGACCCATGTGGGAACTGTCCATCAGGAAGTCCCGCCGAGTGTGACCTTTGACCAGCACGAGGTCTCGGTGCAGTCTACGGATCGCCTCGCACGCGACCCGGGTCTCCGCAACGTGTCCTTGGCAGATGTCCAGGTAAATGACACCCCTCTCAAGCTTCTTATTGATACAGGATCTTACGTCTCGATTTTGAACGAACAAACATTTAATCATGTAAACAGAAAACTTAAGATTAAGCTTCATCGTCCACCAAGAACCTTAGTGCATTATCTGCAACAGTCCATCCCCGTACTGGGATGTTTCTTTGGAGAAGTGGTTTTCAAGAACCGATACGCGCCGCTGGAATTTTACGTGACGCGTACGGGACGATCATTGCTTGGAACCGACGCAGTGCGCGAGTTGAGCATGACCTTATCTGAAGCTGAGTACCATTGTTCCTATGTGAATGCAGCTGGAAGTGGAGCAGAGCCACCTCGGAATGTAGGGCCGGCTGGCGCTCCGCAGCGACGACCCTTCACGTTGTCGTCTCGCCAGTCATCACAGCCACCAAGTCATCAACCTCCAGTTACATCTAGCAACAACCATCCATCTTCAGTACCGTCGGGTGCCTACGTATCCAGGCCACTACAACCTTCTTATGGGGAACAAACAGCTCCCAAAGTCTTCGAAGAGTTTGACCAGATATCGTCGGCCAACTCCAGTCCAGATAGTCATCCTGCAAGTCAGTGTGGAGCCAGTGGTCCAGAGCGTCAACCTGAAGATCAACGTGGTTGCAGTGTTCCACAACGTCATACTGATCTTCCTGATCCTCGAAGTAGAAAATTATACCAAGAGCCTATTCCTGAGCAAAGCAACCTTCCTTCGAAGGGTCTGCAGTCAAGTCTACCTCCACGGGACACATCCCAGTTACCCCCGGGATTTGAAGACTTTGAACACCTGTTCGATCCCGAGTTGGGCCTGGTGCGGAATGAGACGCACAAGGTCAAGGTGCGACATAATGTTCCACCAGTGCAGTCAAGGCTAAGACGTCTTCCTCTAACTCTTCGTGACGCCGTCTCCGAAGAGATCTTCAAACTGGAACGGCAAGGAGTCATTGAACGCGTCAACGCTTCGGAATGGGTTTCTCCCATCGTCGTTGTCAAGAAACAAGACGGAAATATGCGGATGTGTGTGGATCTGCGAGCGCCAAATCAAGCCATCGTCGTTGACGCTTTCCCACTCCCGCACATCGACGAACTTTTGAATTCCCTCCGAGGAGCAGCCGTCTTCTCCAAGCTAGACCTTGCATCTGCGTACCATCAAGTTCGCCTCGACCCCACAAGTCGAGATCTAACGGCTTCCATCACGCATGAGGGTCTTTTCCGTATTGAGCGCGTATGCTTCGGACTGGCATCTGCACCTACAGCGTTCCAAAAGATCATGTCGAAAATTTTGGAAGGATGTCAAGGCGTCCAGTTTTATCTCGATGATGTCATCGTCTACGGACCTTCGTAGGAGGAACATGATGTAAACCTCCGGAAAGTCTTGTCTTGCATCTCCCGCGCAGGAATGAAGTTAAATCGGAAGGGTGTTTTCAATGTCCGTGAACTCATATTTGGGGTGCCGTCTCTCCATGGAAGGGTTAGCACCCCTTGCATCGAAGGTAGATGCTGTTCTGAATTTTGAGACTCCGTGAGACTCTGCAAGGCTGAAAGCATTCTTGGGACTTGCCGAATACTGCAGCAAATTTGTCCCGCATTGTTCCACTGTGGTCGAACCACTTCGTCGTTTACTCCGAAAGGGCGTTCGTTTTGTCTGGTCCCCCGAAGCGGACGCGAGTTTCCAAAACATCAAGGCTTGCATTCAACATGCACCCATTCTAGCCATGTTTGATCCGTCTCTACCCATTATCGTGGCTACAGACGCTTCTCATTACGGCCTGGGCGCCGCCCTTCAAGAGCAGCATGGGAACCATCTTGTCCCTGTCGCTTTTGCCTCCCGATCACTCACTGACGCTGAGCAGAGGTACTCAACTGGGGAGAAGGAAGCTCTCGCTTGCCTTTGGGCCTGTGAGAAGTGGCACGTCTACTTATGGGGACGTCCATTTGTTATTCGAACCGACCATCAAGCACTTGTGACACTTTTATCTAACAAAGGATCTGGTGTTCGTGCGTTGCGCATCACACGTTGGACGGCGAGACTGATGAATTATAATTTCCGCATGGAATATCAAAAAGGGTCTACAAACTTAGTCGCGGATGCGTTTTTACGACTACCTCGCCAAGACACCGAGGGTGGTACTTTGTTTGAAGAGGATGTTGTTGCTCTCATAGCAACGCCCTTGTCACGTCAGGAATTTCAAGAGGCGACCACCAATGACACCGTTCTGCCTAGCGTCATTCGCTACACCACTGAGTCCTGGCCAGACGACAACAATGTACACCCAGAACTACGACCGTACTTCCACGTACGAGATCAGCTCTCCCTCCATGACGGAATACTTTTTCAAGGGGAGAAGATTGTTTTCCCTGAAAATCTGCGAGACCACATTATTCAACTGGCTCATGAAACTCACCAAGGGATTTCTAGAACAACGAGCATCATCAGAGAGCAGTACTGGTGGCCGCGAATGAACCAGCAGATAAAGTTCAAGATAGAAAACTGCATAGTCTGTCATTCCACCGACAAGCCGGTCAAAGCAGCACCAGCACCTCTTCAACCGATCAAGTTTCCTGATAAACCGTGGGAGAAGCTCGGGATAGATATCGTGGGCCCAATAGAACGGGCGCCATTAAGTCAGCGGTTCTTCATTGTCCTCATGGACTACCACTCCAAGTGGCCGGAAGTTCAAGCAGCAGCTTCCGTGACTTCATCTACAGTTATAAACTTTTTGAAAAACATCTTCGCACGTGAGGGATTACCCTGCGAAATCGTCTCGGACAATGCTGTCCAGTTTGCGTCGAAAGAATTCCAGGAATTTCTTCATCAGCATGGGATAAAACATCTCAAGGCATCCCTGTACCACCCCCAATGCAATGGGCAGGTGGAAAGGTTTAATAGAGTTCTCAAGTGCTGCCTACAGTTGGCCGTCGCTCAAGGCCGTCCTTTACCAGATGCGGTCCGTGATTATCTGGAGACGTATCGTCGGACGCCGCATGCAGCAACTGGAGTTGCACCATCGTGGCTTCTTCACGGAAGAATTCAACGGTCGAAACTGGACCTACAAGGAATGGAAGCCAGGTCACTCCCAGTGGATTTTCCTAAGACACGTGCACGACTGCCACAGCGTGTGCAGCAGTACCAAGAAAAGATGAAATCGTATTCGGACAGTCGTCGAGCTGTCCGACGACCCCAGTTCGTCCCTGGACAAGCCGTCCGGATTTTTCAACCATCCCATCGAGGCAAGTTACAACCGAAGTATTCAACTCCACAGATCACTCAGAGACAAGTAGGACCTGCAACATACGAATTTGCAGATGGACGCCGCTGGAACGCCGCAAAATTAACGAAGACGCCACTGAAGACAGGGCGAGAATATTTCGATTCAGATTGGGAGGTTGACGATATTGATGTGCACCCTTTTTCTCAACAGTCCGGTCTTTCAGTACCAAACACTTCGGGTCCTGGCCCTACCCCCGAGGTGGCTGGATCTCTTAGTTCCCTGCTGTGGGGCCTCTTCTGCAGCCGGTTCCCGGGCTGGCGACGTCCCCTGTTCTTGGACAAGGGCCTACGTCTGAGCCTGGTGGGGCTCCGGGTCCTCTTGCTACGTCTGAGCCTAGTGGGGCTCCGGGTCCTCTTGCTGCGTCTGAGCCTGATGGAGCCCTGACGTCCACTGGTGCAGCTGAGCCTGCTGCACGTGTTCCTGACGTCGAGCCACATACGCCTTTGGTCCCTGAGCCATTGGCTGTTCCTGTCCCTGCCGCTGTGCTGCGTCCCGGCTCCATTGTTCTTCCTGATGCTGCACTCACCCTAGAGCCTCGGGTTGGCACTGTTCCTGACTGCGAGCCTGCACGTGCTGTTCCTGCTCGAGATACCGGTCCCGGCACGCCTTCAAAAGACACTGAGCCTGTGGAGGTTCCCTTTTCTTCTGCGACCGGCCTCGCTGACTCATGTGAAGGGCCATTCAGACCAAGATCCACAAGTAATCCGGTCCCGTCTCTGACCGGCTCATCACGTTCAATGCCTCCTTTGGAGAACTCCGTAAGTGCTTGCGAACCTGAACCAATCGTGGCCGTTGCGACGAATCGACCAAAACGCCAACGAAGACTACCGGAGAGGCTGAAAGACTATGTGCTCTCGTTCTACAACACTCAAAAGTCAACACCGGAGAAACCGCGCCAGGAGGTGGGACCTGGGGGGCTATGTTGCGCTTTTTGCACTCCCAGGAGACTAGGGAGAGGGAAGTGACGTCAACGACACAGAAAACGCAGATTGGGTGTTGATTTCGTTTTCTTCTGTCAACATCCAATCTGCATTTGCTGTGTCGTTGACGTCACTTCCCTCTTCCAAGTCTCCTGGGAGTGCAAAAAGCGCAACATAGCACCCCAGAGGTATCCCCCACAACGACACAGAGCTTCATACAATTCACAAGCCTAAGGTTTGAGGAACTTGCAGAGTGAACTTTGTATACATACGAACAGTGCTGTTCGGGCATTTTACCCAATCCGAGGGGGAAAAGGAAAATATCATAACTGTGTTTTAAGCTTTGCTTCAAAAAAAAAAGGGAAGGGCATATGTAGTGGTTTTAGTACATGAACACAAAGCCGCACCAAAAGCCGGCGCCGCCATGTTGCACGCCCTGGCGTGCCCGCGTGATGCCCCACGATAAGCTCGTGATAAAGGAGATCGTGCTTGGATTCGGACGGGGCTGGTCGTGTCTGTTTTTTGATCCTGAACCGGCGTTCTCGGACCCACAGAATATTACAAGCGCCCTTGTGAAAAAGGTGTATACAGGAACTCTACCTTGGACCAAAGAGTGTATTGGGAGAGTTTGGCCATTGAGCGGAGTAAAGGTCTCCGCCAGCGCCGAATACTGCACCCAAGGTCAGAGCGCAAAGTAAAAGGGTGACACAGCGACAACCAATCAGCAGGCCGCGACGTCACAATATTGAAAACGACATTTAAAGTGAAATGGAAGCGTCCGACCTCGGCGTCTCGGAGACAGTTTGCTCTAGGCTCGCTTGCTAGAACAGCGTCTCTGCTGAGACTGGCTGAAAGAAAACAGTGCAAAGGCTGGAGCGCGCGAGCGTCTAGAGACGCGGCTTGAGTCCCGCTCAGCTCGTGCGTTGGCTTTGGCAGTGCTTTCTTTCCCCAGTCTCAGCTGAGACGCTGTTTCTATCAAGTAGGCCCTGGTTTGGAGCGCACGTATGTTTATACTACCGTTGAATGTGGACGTGACGGCAAACTCACACGCGCCAAATTTTCCGTCACCAAGAGTTAAACCTTTCCTCTAGCGACGCTAAAATGGCTTAAATTAGTCGGTTCGCATATTTAGAGCTCACGACCACCGCTAGGGGCTGTTTCGCGGCCTGTGGTTGGCCCCGAGATGCTCGCCTATTCAAACCAATCTAAAGCCAAACTCTCCCAATAAACGGCTCTGCCTTGCACTAAAGACCCTTCATGTTTCAAAAGTAGCGCAAGGTGCGTTGATGCACGAGGCACGTGCAACGTGCAGCCATTAGGAAGATCATGGCTAGTGCCACTAAATATGCTACGCTTCAGAGCAACGACACTTGGCCATATTGTGGCTTTAAATCATGGTTGCCAGTTATCTAAAGCTTTATCTGAAATCACATAAAACGCTTTTCCGTCCTCCACAAATGTTTAAACAGATCGCGACAAAGCAAAGCAATATTACGTTCCGAACACCGAATCTAACGCTGAGGAACTCGCACTTCTGGATCATTTCGATCGGCAGTTGCGTCTGCTCTGCACAAGCACCAAAATGGCGGCGCCCACAACAATGTCGGGGAACAGAGTGCCCATGGGCGTACCAACCGGGGGGGCAAGAGGGGCGCTTGCCCCCACACCCCCCAGTTTTCAGAGTGGGGGGGGGGGGGGGGGGGGGGGCAAGGCATGTGTTTTGCCCCTCCCCTGAAACAGCCGCCACTGGGCAGGGCAAACACTGGCGGGTGGCGCTCAAGGGATACCAATGAAACCGCACCCCGGCCCTGGAGGGAGGGGAGGGGGGGCAAGAGTCTGGTTTGCCCCCCCCCCCCCCCCCCACTCAAAAACAAGTTGGTACACCACTGGGAGTGCCGATACTCTAAGCGCAGCTCGTTTAGTGGCTCTAATCATGGCGACACAGCACAGCATTAAGCTAGATTTCAGACGCCATGTACTTTCCAGAAGTGGCGCGCCGCACGTGTCTCGAGCCTTTCTACAACAAAAACTGGCGCCACTTTTCCCAGGACAGAGGGGCTTTACCTTGAACAAGACTCCGTTTATTTATCGTGTGATCAAGAACGCAGTTTACTACAGGTACCTTTAGCTAAAGGACCTAAGCTAAAGGTACCCTTACGCTGCCGTGTGAATTGGGTGTAACTAGGGGTGTAACTGTATTAGCGGCGAGATGTTTTGGTGGCGCCCCCCCCCCCTGTGGTTCCCACTCGTGACGTCATTACCTCGCGAAAACAAGTTCAATGGTGTTTGTAATAAGCATGGTGGAAGCTAGAGCCACTAAATGAGCTGCCTTATTTAGCTTATTTAGTGGCACTAGTGGAAGTTTCAAATCATTGCGCTCTGAAACCAACGCTGCAGGCACCGCCAAAAGTGAAGATCTTCCACTCCTCTTATTTCCGTCCAAGAGAAATCCTTTGCTGACGTCAGAGTCAGCATTCGGCCAATCGTGGAAGGCCAATCACAGCGACGCTTTCGATCTCTCACGTCGCCAATAGGCTCTGCTTTCAGAGCCAGAGTATTGCTTTCCTTCTCCTTTCGCCGCCAACTCCGTATTGGCGGAGAAGCGGTCACATGCACCGAGCTGGATTCGGGCTTCGTGAGGGAAAGCGACCTTGCAGGCGTCGACTTTCGGCCGAATCTTGTTTCTAGCATTGCGTTTGCGAAATTATACATCCTACACTAAAATAGAACGAACTGGAAGGTTCCTTGACCATTCAGCATTATGTGTAGCCACTGGATACAGTGTAATCGCGTTGTTTTATAACGCGTGCGATGTTTTGAAACATGTTTTCAACGTCTTGGAAGAAGACGATACGGAGGACGATCGCTTAGCTCGCACACGACCAACTGTATACTTACGACCACTCCACCTGGAAACACCCCAGCACGCACCTCCCGGAGGGCTAGGGTGCCTCAATGTGCGCCTGTCATAGGGTGAAGACACCCACTGTTGTATTGAAAACTGCCTGCGCTTGCCGAAGGGGCCTTAAAATGGCGCCAAAGCACCGGGCAGGGCTAAGCGCTCGCTCCGAACGAGATCGAAGCGTGTGCATCCTGGGCATAGAAACGGCCGAGATGCCGCCACCCTAAGACAGATGTGGCGAAAGTGTATGAAGGCTCCCTAGGAGGGCTGAGTACCTTCATACACACGCGCGCTTTTGCTTGAGTGGTGACATCTCAGCCATTTTTCCGCCCAATCGTTTTTTTTTTTTTTATGTATTTTGAAGTGCGCGCAATCCGGTGTCACTCAGCTCGAGCGCGTAGCTTTGGCTATTGCATAGACGCCATTTTACCGCCCAAGTCATGCACCGAGTGCACGAGAGCGTCACGCGCTGGCACATTCAGGGCAACAATGAATGTCTTCACCCTGAGACAGACAGACATGAAGGCACCCTAATGCCCGTGTCCCACTAGAGCGACATACAGAAACAAAAGATAACGACAAGCCTCAAACCAGAGTCTTTCGCGATTTGAGAGGCTTCGTAGAATATAGGAGGCTATGCTCAAACACGAGCATCATGCACGCGAGGGTATCTTTGGCAGGCTTGCAATCGCTCGTGCTTACTTCAAGAGCACCAAACGACTGAATGCCTGTCAAGGGTACCGTCGCGAGCATGCTGCATGGGTTTGAGGCTTGTCGCTGTCTTTTGTCTCTGTCTGTCGCTCTAGTGGGACACGGGCATAAGGAGGGCCAAGTTTCAGCGGCGCCTCGTGGCGGGGCCCCGAAGCCTGTATATTTTTTCGGCTTTTCCGTGCTGCACCAAGTTGTTTTGGCCTCTATGGTGTTGGCGGCGCGCGGTCGCAGCCAATACCATCTAATGTTGGCTGCGCAAACTAAAAAAAGAAAAAAACCTAATTAACTAATTGGACTCCTTCAGTATATTTTACATAGAGAAAAACATTTTACAGCGTGAACGCGCTTGAAACCAGAAAGCGCGATCAGCTGGCACGCACCCTCGGATAACAGAAGAACCCGACGAGGTAGGAGAACCGACTTTTTGTGCCGCCTAGTGAAAACACATCTTACTAGGCGGCGCCCTATGCAGTGCTTGTGGGGAAGTGGAAGAAACTATACACCACTTGGTACTTGAGTGTCCGGCACTCGCACCGGCAGCAGACGTCAGCGCTCGCATCGAACAAGCCCTCGGGTTTGCCGAGGAGAACACGTATGTGCAGTGCTCGAAGCGGATACTCGAGGCCTGGTGGGCAGTAGATTGTTGAAACTAGTGGATACACTCCGCTTTCTAACCTCTTTTATTACTTTTTTTTTTTGGCGTGTCTATTTAGTAGACGCCCGATTCAAAGGGAATCGCCGCATAAATACAATACAATACAATACAATACAGCCGGGAGCAGGCCCTTCCATAGAGAGCGCTCAGATGCGGTGGTGGTAAGTATTAGCGGCGAGATGTTTTAGTGGCGCCC